AGTTCAGGCAGACTATGAGAAAGTAAAATTATCTCTTGTCTTTCATTATTTCTCAAAGCTTCCGTGAAGTCAAAACAAATGCTTTCATTTTTATGAACAGAGACAAATAGTTCTTTATTTGCTAGTTCCAGAAACAGCTATGCTTGTCGGGGGCATTATAGCTTCTATCCCTTCTCCCTTCAGTGCACAGCTAAAACTCACCTAAAATTCCCCTAACTGCGACATGAAGAATACTTGACAGGAAGACAGAGTGGAGGCTGTGAGACTAAAGAGTACCCTGAGTGCTTGTGTGAGAGATAAATGGTGTCAAGGATATGTAGGAGGGCTATCAATGGAAGGTTGATTAGTCTACATTGCAGTGATGTAGGACCGTTGTTTCTGGCTTGTGCAGCAATATAAATAGTGTTGCCATGACCAGAGAGATGGATAATGTTGCCACGACCTTTCTGAAACAGTAGGGGTCCAGATATAAACAGGAATTTGACCTTTCAACTTTTGAGTACAAGTTTTGCCTTTCGTCTTTGCCTTTTTGATGTGGACCCACTAACTAGTATCACTGATTCTATGCTTCCTCTTCCAATGCTAAGTGAATGTTATCAAAGTGCAGCCATGAATATTTCACCCCCATATTCAATAACGAATGTCTCTTTGAAAATACAGCATACAAAAGAGAGAAAATCCTTAGCCTTGAATTTATAGTATTCTGGTTTATTTTTACCTCTTCCCTGCTTCCCATTATTCTGCATCAGTTGGTTTCATAGTTCTACATAACTAAGATACAGACAGATGTAGAGAAGCTGTAGTGGAATTTCATCTTGGTGAGCAGCCTACTGAGCAGAACACTGTATTTGGGAGTTTGATTTAAAACTTTGAAATGGAAGATTAAGTGTGTGAAGGGAACACTAGAATTTTCCTTCTGTCACACTTTTATGAAAATAAATCTTTATAGCTGTGCAAATCTAGAAACTGCAATTATGACCTCTTTGGCACTATGGAGCCTAAAGGTTAAACAACCCTGAATTGGAGAGACAGCACAAAAACTCTCTTATTCAAAGTCATTAAAGTTATTAAAGTGTTTTTAGTAGGGTGTAATATAACCTGATTTTAATATGTAATTTAATATATTCAGTACTATAAAGTCCTTGTGGAGAATGGATTGAAGGTACCACTTCATTAGAAGTCACAGAGTAAATGGTGACCAGTAATGTCATTTTCTGTTGCTTCATCTCCAGACTTTTTAATTTTCTCTATATCTTGGGACTGAACATATTCATTTTGTAGATGATTTCATTTTCTTTCCATAATATTAAACATTAACCAAGCCATATTAGCCATTTCCTAAAGTATCTTAAACTTTCTGATAACTGCCTCTTACCTGTAAGGTCCTCTACCTACTTAAAATTTTACCATTTCTTTGTGTCCAGTTCAGAATTCCCTTTAATATTTTTAATCTCAATATGTAACAGTGTGGTCCCAAGGAAAATGGGAGGCTCCAGGTTCCCTGTCCCACCCAGGGAGGGTGGAGCTGAGGAGGGGATGGAGGAAGAAAGGAGGAAGGATGGAGCCAGAAAGAGACCTGGAGGAGGCACACGGAGCTGAGAAACACGTAAAGAAATGTTAGGGGGAAAGGATGTCCTGAGCAAACTCCATGCAGGCTTTGTGGATGCCACCCCCACTCCATCAAGACACTGGGAACTACAAATCCCATGATCCCCAAAGGAAAGGTTGCGAGGACCTGAGAGTGGAGTTAAGCAGCCATGTTCTCTGTTTGAGTATTTAACCTGCCATGGGAGGGGGTAGTGGGGGGGTCGTGCTCTTTGCCTGATGGTGCGTGATTTTTTGCCAGCTCAGTGGGTCATTGGGATTCCAGGTCAGAGGAACGGGTAGGACGCATTTATGAATTTATCTCCCTCTTTTGCTCCCTGAGTTATTCATTTCCTCATTTCCCCTTCCCTTGTAAAACCTTTCATCTACCTTTTGTGTGTGTCTGCAGTTTAGCATTAATAAATCCCTTTTAAGCACGCGGGTGACGACCCACAGTCACGCAACCTATTTCATATCAGGGCGGCCCTATAACAGAAACTGTGCTTGCTTCTTGACCCTGGACTGGTTGAAGCAGATGTGGATGACAGACACATTGGGAGGTTAACAATTCCACACTAATTGTATGAAAGTTCTTTTCCATTAATGACCTTGCACACTAGAGTATGTTTTTTCTTAATGCAGTGGATGGCAGAACCTATTTAGAGCAGGCAGGTTTAGGGGTTGTGGGATGCCCCTCACCCTGCCCTCTCACAAATATATTAAAATTACCTTTATTATTCCAAAATGGGCTACTGATCCTGAACCGAACTAACATTTGTTTCAAAATTAGCTTCAAAACATTAAAAATGAACCTGAAATAAAAGTATAAAAGGGAGTGGGGTATTAGGAAACAAAGTACTCACACACATTATTGTTAGCGAATTACTAAACTGGTTTTCCTCAACTTTCTCTGCATCTATCTTCAAATTTCCAATTGGGGCTGGTGTTGACTTTTGCCTCAGAATCTGAGAACCTGTATTAATTTTCTCGCATATTGACTGGAGAAGATTTGACATCAGATAAATCTCTCTCAGCCCAGGAGTTGCAGCAGCTCTTCTTCAGTTTATCTTATGGATCAAGTTTACGTCTTTGATAAAACCCACTGATTTTCAAAACAACCTCGTTCAGCATTTTTATCAGATCCTCATAACATCACAAATTAATAAACTCCAGTATTATTTCCTCTTCTGTTTTATAGATGAGGAAGGAGGCCGCGAGGATAAAAAAAGAGCTGGAGATCTTCAGAGTACTAATCCAAGACTTTGGTTCTTAAATTGTCCAGACTGATAGAGCCAACAAACACCCTCACTCTTTAGTTTTTCTTTGCCATTCAGTCGTTCCTGTTACAGTCAGTACTCATTAGGGCACCAGGGATCCTCAGGGGGGAAAAAAAGATCCTGCTCTAGAGGTGGATGGATTATAGTGATGTAACAGGGTGGTCCCCAGGAAAGGGGGAGTTTTCAGGTTTCCTTGCTACCCACAGGAGGGAGGGGCTGAGCAGGGAAGAGAAGCTGCAGAAGAGACTGAGAAGAAAGGAAGCAGGATGGAGCCAGAGGAGGCCTGGAGGAGGCACATGGAGCCAAGAGACATGTGGAGAAGCTGCACTTGCCTCTCAGTCCTGGACTGGGTGACACAGATGTGGGTGAGAGACCCGTGGGGAGGTGACAGTGGTGGGTTTTGTCTTGATTTTGCTCTTTTCCTTCTAGACTTGTCTGGTTGTTTCTGACCCTTTTCTGTGGGTCCCCACTGGAAGGTGCTTTAGACTTGGGGCAGGCTTTGGGGCCTTGCTCCGGGCCAATCCTGCTTGGATGGACTTTTACCCACGAGGGGACAGGTAACATTGGGTGCTTGATTTAGAAACTAGAGTCTTTGCCTTTCCTGTATTGGTTCCTAATTGTATTAAAGCTCCTTCCCATTAAAGTCTCATGTTTTGTGTTGATGCGGCAGATGGCAGAATCTATCTAGAGCAGGCAGGTTTGGGGTTCTGGGGCGCTCCTCTCCCTGCCCTATCACAGTGAGATACTGGCTCAAATGTGGCCTAGCCTGAGATCCAAGAACAGAGACTGGGAGACTGGGAGACTGGGGTAGTGGGCACCCAGGGTATGCCAGCAGCGGGGCAGCTTTCCCCTGCTCCCGGCCAACACCTGGAGAGCAGCTGTGCTGGCCCAGCAGTCAGGCGCACAAGGTGGTTTTGCAGTGAAGGGCAGGTTTGGGGTCACGCAACTTTCACCCGAAGTTTTACAATCACTGTAATGCCTGGCGCGGGAGGTGGGAGTAGCTGATAATTAGCACCGCCAGCTCGCCGCCCTCTGCGGAGGCCACCCCCCAGCGCGACCCCCCGCCCCCCTAGGAAGCAGCCGCCCCGCCCCCCACGGGTCCCTCGCCCAGCCCCCAGAGGGCGGTGCCGCCGGCGGTCACGTGTCCGGCATGGCGGCGCCCTGCGAGCCGAGCGGAGGCTGCCGCGGGCGTGTGCGCGGCTGAGGAGCTCGGAGGCGGCGCCCGCCGCGGGGCGAGAGTAAGGGGCCGGCGTGGGGGCTGGGGGCGGGGGGCGGCCCGGCCCCGGTGTCGGGCTCGGCGGCGCGGGGAGGGGCCCGGGCCGGGGGATTGGCCGAGGCGCCCGCTGCCTCCCCGCCGGGACCCTCCGTCCAAGGGGGCGCGAGCGAGGGCCCCGTGCGCGCGGCCGTTTCCGCGACCGGCCTCGTCTCCCCGCCCTCGGCCCCTCCGGCCCGCGGTGGGGGTGGCGCGGGGGAGCCCGCGCGGCCGCCTCCCGACGCCCCGCGGCATTGACCAGCGTTTTGGCCTGGGGGGGTCGGGGACCGCGGCGGGCGCGCTTCGGGGCTCCCCCGCGCGCCCCCAACGGCGAGCCCCGCGCCCCTCCCCCCCGGCCCCCCGCGCCCCCGGCCCCCTCTCTGGCGAGCCCCGCTCTGAGGCGCGCGGACGGCGGCGGCCGCGCGGACGCTCCTGAGGAAACGACTCGCCTCAGGCCCGCGGCCCGCGCCCGCCCCGCGCGCGTCGACAGCTCCTGCGGGGCGGGGCGGCCTACCCTGTCTTTGTAACCCGGGCCCCCCAAAAGTTGGAACCCCGGAAACCTAGACAGACCCTTCCAGACCCACCTGGTGCGCACGAGGCAGGGGCGCGGGTGCCGGCGCCTCGGCGTTCCCCACAGGCCCCTCGCGCGGCAGCCGCCGTCCAACCCCCGCGGGAAACCGCGGCCAGAAACGCCTGGTTTCCTGCCCCCGGGCCCCGCAGCGTCAGCTCCGAGCTTCGGCTTCTCGCAACTGCTGCCCGGCAATTTGCTCGACGAAGTGTCGGGCCAAGGCCTCCCCCCTCGCGGGCCTTCTCCCCAGAGCGCGGGGATCGGCGCCGCCGCCCGGGCCGCGTCCGCAGGGGGCGTCCGCGCGGCACCCCGCGGAGAACGCTGAGGTGCCGTGGAGCGGCCTCGGGCAGGAACCATCCCTGCACCCGCAGAGGCCACAGTAGCCGCTGTCTGGCCCCAAGAGACGTTTGCTGACCTTTGCTCCAGGACGGAACTAGAACTAAGATGGCCCGGGGGTGACTCTTCTCTACTAAATACCGAATTCTTGTCCAGCGTGGTTGTGGCCAAGTCGGGTAGTTTACACGCCCACCAGCAGCACCCCCAGCATTCCTGCCAGCAATTGTCAGTTTTCAGCATCTTCCCCTTTTGTTTCCCTGATTATGATAGGTCAAGCATACTTCAGAAGTTTTCACTTTACTCTTTGCGAAGTGATTGTTCAAACTTTGTCAAATTTTCTTGTGTTGTTTGCCTTTTTTCTTGTTATTCTATCTGCATACTAATTACTCTTTTGCCAGTTATATTGCAAATACTCAGATCAGCTTATCTTTAAAGTATCTAATTGATGAATGCAAATCAGTTTTCGTTACTATCAGTTTTCTCTTTTACATTTAGTGCTATTTCCAAGCTATGTATTTTTTTTAAGATTTATTTATTTATTTATTTATACAAGAACCGGGGTACAGGCCAGATGCGCAGGTGAGAGGATTCACCAGAGACAGAGCGGGGAACAGAACAGACTGACGAAATACACTGCTGAGGGGAGCAGCGGGCGAGATGGGGATGTCTGCTGTGCCATGTGGGTAGCTCCCCAGCCATCAGGGATTGAACCAGCGCTGCAGAGGCTGCAGAGAGCCTCACAGCGCGGCGCTAAAACGCCTGCGCCACCAGGGGAGGCCCTTCAAGCTACATTATTTTTAAAGGTTATAAAGATATTCTGTTATTTCCTAGCTCTGTATTTTGTCCCTTTCATGTTCTGGTTTCTGTATCACTTGGAAATTATTTTTTCGCTGTGGTGTATATGCATTGATTTTTCAGATTATGAATTCAATTTATAACTACTTGTTTTTAAAGTCATGGTTTTAAGACTTTTTATAAACACTCTTTTTCTATAGATACACATTATTGAAAAATTAATTTACTACTCAACATGGAAAATCATGAACCAGGTGATACTGCCAAAGAAAACTTAATTTTCATTATAGCCAGAAAAATTAACCAACTTCCAGAAGCAGACAGGTAAGATCCCTTATTAAAAATATTTTATTTGCCAGGTGGGTTTTCATTAATTTATTACATCATATTATTTTGAGTATAAACAAAGTATCAGAAGGAAATGGTCTTTTGCCTTGATGAGAAAACTAAGGGCCAGAAAGATTAATAATCATTTTGCTCTCAGTCACTGCAAGTGTTCACGTTTGGACATTCCTAATTGTATGATGGTGCAAATGTTTCCCATTTGGCTCAGCATATAGTCAAATGTGAGCATTTATGGACTCACACTAAGAAATGGACTCCAAATAACAAAACTTGAAAATAGCCCTTGTCGTCCTTCTCAATTCATTTCTATCACTGTGCTTACAGCCTGAGAGGCCCGTTACCCACACAGCTAGAAGAGGAGTGTTAGCAAAATGGGTATTGCTGAAAGACCTTTAAGGGGTCATTAAACAGAAAAAGGAGATCTAGAAAACACACCGATCTTCTAAGACAACATGGAGTGAATTAGTTTACTTCTACGAAATGTTTAGACCTCGCTGGCAAGAAGGCCTCTCCAACTTAAAAATCTAAGACTAAAAGGGATGAAAAGGAGCCAGCTGGGGGGGGGGGGGCGCCACAGATCCAGAGGCAGAGGTATATGCTAGGCCACAGGACTGCAGCACTTTGTCATTCTGAGGAACCAAGAGTTACTGAAGTTCAAGGGAAGTGGACATATTGGAGGAACGGGTTTTTTAAGCGTGGGATGTAGTGATCCAGCTGACCTTTCTAAAGAACACTCCACTTGCTTTTTAGAAATTAGGCTTAAGATAGGAGAAATGGGGAAGTACAGTAGGATAACAGGTATAGTAATCCTGGTGAGAGATGGTGGTGGATGGTGGGCTGAGATGAAGAAAAGGCTGGATTTAAAATACATTTTGGAGGTATAATCTTACTGTCTTAGCCAAATTCCACTCTCAGTGCTACTTAATCATTTCAGCAAAGGAGAACATATTAACCAAGGGCAGTAGTGAGAACTTGGTGAAATTTCACAGGTTGTTTATCCCACACCCTCCCCACTGCCCCACAACACATATACATGCTGTTGGATGGTTTTCCTGAACAGAAAAGCCTTTCAAGCAAGATTGCAGGCCCTGTTTCCAGGCCCGTACTAGTAGGGAGAGCCAGAATAGAATAGATGCTAACAGCAAATTTGCTATTCAGACTGTTGCACTGCTTGTTTTATGTATTTGGCAATTTTTTACTGTCTTTAACATTCATATGTAATTGTAATTTAGAAATTGTTTATGTAATATAGAAAAATTTATGGACAAAAATCTCGAGTATTGGTTCCATTTTGATGAAAATGTGGGTAGAACATTTCTCAGGATTATGAAGATAAAATTAATATTTTATAGAAAGTGCTCAAGTTCCCAGTTCCCTCAGCCTACACAAAAATACACATCTTTCATATTCATTTTCTGATGTTATTTGAAAGGTTCTCTAGAATATCACCATTCCCTAAATAGTATCTTGTGTAATCCTTTGTTTCTAAACTGCCTTTCCTCCTATACTGTAAACTTGAGAGGTTCCATCTCAAGTTTACATCTCTCTGATCTTCCAGTAGCAAACTGGAAAAAGTGAAGGTAGATTTGTCTTCAACACCAAGCTTGCTGCACATAGTGGGTACTCAGTGACTGAATGACAAACACTATTTTGACTGTCAGTAAAACCTGACAAGTTTGAAAGGTTACTACCTTACACAATGTAGGAAACGCAACTAGAATTTCTATAGAAAATGACTTTAAGATGGGTGTTACCGCAGAAGTTACAGGAGTTGTGGTGTGGCTAGTGTGTCCAAATGAAAAGTAATGAGAAATTTAAGTAGTTGATACTTGTGTAGCAGATGGCAGGACAGATGGTTAAAAAACTAAAGGGCAGACTGAAGAGTTTGGAGTATTTTCATTACCCAGAAATACCTGTTGGTATTGTTTTTTTCCAAAGCTGATGAATGCATAGGACATGAATTTTAAACTCAACCAGACATACCACTAAATTATCTGCGTTATCAGCATTTCAATAGGTTGCTGTAAAGCACCTACAATATGTATTCCTCAAATGTTAGTACTCCTTCAACCCCACCCACACCTCCAACCCAATGCCAAAGCTTCAGGGAAGTGTGAAAAGAAACATTAACTCTACACCTCATTGAATGCTTTCTATGAGTCAAGGTGCTAGAGAAGCCAAGAATATATCCTATCTCACCTTCAAGTTGTTTACAGGCTAATGGGAAACCTGATGTGTAAATCACTATAATTATAAAATAGGATCATTTTATACCATGATGAGTTAGAGAGGTTAAGTATTAGATATTGTAGATACCAGAGAGGCATTCAAATCAAAATCACTCTTCAGAACTTCTCCCCTGCTGTATAGTTTGCGGGAACTTTTTATACTAATATCCTTTGCAAAATCACAAAATACATTTAGTAAGACCTGACTATTGTGTTTACATTCTCAAATCTTTAAAATAAAAATCTTGTAAAACATGATTTTAAAAGGTTCTATTTTATGTTAGAGGATAAATGTTTTATCCTATTGCTCCAAAAATCCTGATAAATTCTGTAACATGCCAGAATTGTTGGAGAGCTCACACACACCATAAAACCAAAGAAAACGTTACTGGTTTTTTCCCTCGCCCACTCAGGAATCTACTTGAACATGGGTCAACGTATGTTGGAATTAACGCAGCTCTCTGTGGACTAATAGCAAATAGTCTTTTCCGGCGTGTCTTACATGTGACACAGGCTCGTATAGCATCTGGCTTACCGATGGCAGTGATCCCATTTCTGACAGCGGATTTATCTTACAGAGGTTTTGTAAATTTACCTTTGAATACAGGTAAGTTCTATATCACTATCATCGCAGAGTTTGTTTTCGTAATCTGTATGCCTTACACTAATCCTTAAGTATTTTATATATCAAATAGCTACATTGCTATAATATAGTCTCAGCACTTTGGTACGACTGAACTAGAATTTCTAGCCTCTTTGTAAGTGGCAATTTATTCATATTAGCATCACTTACGAAACAAGTTAAAAAAGCATACCCAGCAGTTTTAAATATTTTCCTTTATCTCACTTCCACAGTGCTCAGAGTAAAAAATATATGAAATACTTATTTAAATGCTGACTGCATTAGGTTTTTAAAAACAAAAAATTTCCTTAAAGGGAAAAAAAAAATCCTTATATTACTAACACTCTTTATGTAGTTAATAATTACCAAACATAACATGGTTTCTTGATTTCTTGTCAGCTTATTGTGTGTGCTGAGTGCTTTGAGAATAGCTAATCACAAAAAAATTCTAATTAATGGTTTCAAAATAGTACTAGAGATTATGAGGAAGGAGACAGTCCATAGCTATCCCAAATTAAATGCTGTGTAAACTGTATGTGTATTGTATTTTGCTTGACCATGTTCAGTATGAAAAGAAATTTTAGGATCCAGAGACCTACTACCCAATGAACTGAACAGGCTGAGTGAAAACAGCCATTTTTAATAAACAATTTGGAATTGAATAATTTTATAAAAATAAAGTGACATCAAACTATGTAATATAAGATGACGTAGGAATTGTTTTAAAGTTTCTTAACAGAAATATTAGCTCTAGTTTGCTAGTATAAATGCAAAAAGCTAGAAGTACAAATCAATATGATTATATTCAAATGTAGAACATATTAAGAGAACTTTTCCTAAGATGGTTTTATATTATTCCTGGCTGGCTAAGGCTCTGTATACATGCAGTTATTTATACCTTTTAACATGCACAGTAGAATTGCATTTGCCATTATTACTGCCTGAAAATTTGATACATAAAAGGGAACCTTGCGTTGTTTAAATCACGTTTGCTTGACTGTCATGACCCTTATTTCCACAACTTATTTTCTAGGTGACTTGAATTGTGAAACTTGTACCGTAACACGGGGAGGATTGGTTGGTCTTGCTTTGGGTGGTCTTTACCCTGTTTTCTTGGCTATTCCTGTGAATGGAGGCCTAGCAGCCAGGTAGGATTCTTTCTCATAATCACTGAGAAACTTTTATAAATGACTGCCTGGAAAATGTATAACTTTGAACTTCAAAGGAGTTTCTATTTTTAAAGTCATAACTTTGAGCTAATAAAACTTTTTTATACATAATCAAAAATTACTTCTCAAGAACTTGAAGAGTTCTAGAAATTTATTATACTGTGTCTCTTGGTATGTAGTTTAGGTTCTTAACTTCGTGTTTTGAATGCCAGCTACAAAGCTGCAAACGTGATGTCTGGCATGAAAGCTACTTTATAAACACCGTATTTTTAGTTTGAGCACTTCCACTAAAGGAAAACTCCATCAAAAAATGAGTAGCTAAAAGCCTGCTATTCTAAAATATCTTATTCTCAGATGAACTCTTGCATTAAATAGTCTATGCTCCGTGAACCGCTAGAGATAAAACAGAGAAAAAAAATTTTGGGGACTAAAAGACACTGAAGAGTATTATTACCTTACTATTTAACATGAAACTAGTTTCATGTTAAGACTTCTGGAATTAATATATAGTGTATTTTTTTTTTATTTATTTATTATATTTGTTTGTTTTGTTTATACATGCACTGGGTACAGTCAGAAGCGCGGGAGGTGAGAGAATTCACCAGAGCCAGAGCGGGGAGCAGAGCAGGCAGAAGGACGAAGTACACTGCTGAGGGGAGCAGCGGGTGCAGGAGAGGTCTGCGCACCATGTGGATCTCCTCCGGTGGCCGGGGAGCAGCCGGGGATCGAACCGGCGCCGCAGAGGCCGCGGGCAGCTTCGCAACCCAGCGCTCAACCGCTGCGCCACCGGGAGGCCCCAATATATAGTGTATTAAACTTGCTACTTGATAAATAACTTCCTTTCTTGTGAACTGAATCCATGTTTTCTTACAGGTATAACTCAGCTCTGCTACCAGAGAAAGGAAACATCTTAAATTACTGGATTAGAATTTCTAAACCTGTCTTTAGAAAGATGCTGTTTCCCATTTTGCTTCAGACTGTGTTTACTGCATACCTTGGGTCTAGACAGTATAAATTACTTATAAAGGCTCTCCAGTTGCCTGAAACTGGTCTAGAAATTCAATGAGTGTTAAGCAAATGTGTATGCAAAAATAAAATTGTGCAATGAAGCTGTCTAATGTATGAATAAACACAGACTTGTAATTTGTATTACATGAGGTACAGTTTTGGGACCTATGACAAAAAGCTGCCCAGGGCAACAAATAGGGCTAACCTCTTAAACAAGAGTGTCATCTCTCTAATTCACCTTGTCTCTTCTACTTTGCTGTTCCACTCCTTTACATAAAGCAATTTGGCCTATAACACAAACACGCGCGCGCACACAATAGCATACAACACTCTTCAATGGAGACCTCTTAAAAGAAGCCCAACAAGAATGAAAACTAACAGAAAAAAGTACATATATATTAAACAGCAAATGCTACACTTCATTTTCCCAACTCAGTTCCATAGGTATTAAGTCACAGAATTTTAGAGCACATTTAATGACCTTTCTTACAGGATTCCAGTATTTTTGAAAAATGGTTATTTAGGCTCGGCTTGGCCTACTCTAACGCTATAATTACCTGCTTCAAGTCATCTTATTTCTATCTTTGGAAAGCTATATTCTTAAAAGATTATTGAGGCAAAAATCTCAAGTTACATAACTCAGCACCTGACATTTAAGGCATTCAAGTGGTAGCATGTTCTTTCTATAATTCCTGGTTTTGTTTATAGAAACAACCTAGTCTAATCCCCAAAAGATAGATCATTTTCATTCTTTTAATTGACCTATTGTTTTCCTTCCTAAAGCATTTCATCCCAGTTCTTTAAACCACTTTTTTTGTGACAGTATCTAAACCAGCAGTTTAACAGAAACTTTCTGTGAAGAAAATGTTTCCTAGCTGAATGTCAGTTATGTTGGTCACTAGCCATGTATTGGCTATGGGGTACCTGAAATGTGACTAGTGCAAATTTTTAATTACTTAGCTATTTAAAATTACATGAAAGGAGAATTTCTCCTCTCACCTACAGAAGACTGCTTTGCAGGTAAAACAGGCTTTCCATTTCTCTTTACAAAAGTAAAGCTGTGCAGCTAAAGACTTAAAATTTAAATGAAATTATCAAAATACATTTTCAATTTTTCAGCAAGTAAAGGTATGCCCAGCCAAACTTATGTAAGGAGATGGTCCTGATGAGGACAAAGAACCAATGTTTTACACTGTATTTTCCAGGTACTATCTTTGTATTTTTTTTTGGTTACATATTACACTGTGTATTTTCCTGTTTTTTTTCATCCTGATTCCTTTCTGGAGTTCCCCAGTTTTCTAAAGTGAGCATGCTTTACTTTTACAAATAGGAAAAAACATTAATTCAAATGATTGGGGGAAAGAAAGAAAAAACAATTCTATAATCTACAATAGCAAGATAAAGTTCTCTGACCCATAATTAATCCATTTTATCTGCATTCTGTCACTTTTATTTAAGGCTAGCTCCACTTAAGACCACAAATTACTAGACTTTTATTGCCTTAATAGAAAATGTTAAAAAATGTTGTAATTAGGTAATTCAAAACCCATTGACATAACTAAATAATGCTTTAGTAAAACCAGTTGTTTCTTTGCCCTATTTTAAACACTCCCACAGTATTTAATCCCTAGCATACGATCTATAAATGGATGTAAGAATTTACAATGGTATGACTAAGAAGGATCTTTCCCTTGATACCTATCCTCCACCATGTATTATCTTCTCAGAGAACATGTTATTTAAAATCTATTGCTACAAATCTACCAATATTTTTGGTGAAGGGGCAGATGAGACATGTGAACCTACCATGATGTGATTACAATTTAAAGAAACTTTGTTACTTATAGTTAAGACCTAAACAAGGCCATCTTAGTTGGGAAAAGTTTTTTAATATTTCAGTGCAAAGTAAAACTACTTAGCTCTTTTACAATTTATTTTGTACTGATATAACTTTAAAAAATAGAGGATATATATTAATAGAACTTGCAGACCACCCCTATGCCCCAAACTGTAGAAGGCTACAAAAGCCACAGGGGTCTTGGAAACTGACCTCAGTAGAACACAGTAAAGGTACAGAATTTGGAGGCACATTCTAAAAGTTGGGCTACCAGGAAAATTCACATCCATGCATATTACCAGAATTACACAAATAGTTGAAAACAAAGTCTGGCTAGATTTTTAGATTCACTGAAAACTGAGTACAGTATCTTCAACAAAACAAGTAATTGGGGTCAACAAAATCCAAAAAATCTGTTGTAAACTGGTTTCTTTTTAAAACATGGAGAAAAATGGATCTAAAATCTTGAATGTACAAACTGGGGAAAGGTAAAAAACTAGAAATAAAATTCTATTATAACCAATGACAAAGGTAACAAGCTAACAAGCAACTTTCTGTTAATGTACATCTAAGAAAAATCCAATTTTTCTCTAATATTATATAATGTATGTTCCTAATAATTTACTTTCAGAATGAAATTTAAATTTGATATAGTCTGCACTTCAAAAATTCCATTTGATATAGTCTGCACTTCAAAACAATGTAAATGACTATTTTCAGTCTAGGCCATATATGGTATTATAAGACTGTCAGGGTACTGTCTGGCAGAGTACCAAGGTATCCAAATTCAAATATGTTAATATGGTGCTGGCAACTCCTATCAGTGAATTACCCACTGTGTCCCATCAAAGCAGTAGTTACTGTCACCACGTAATACTGATGCCTAATTTTTAGTTGTTCCATTACAACCAGCTGTACTGTTAATGCTGTAGGAGCATCCATCAGTCACTTAAGTATATAGGCCATTGGGAATCTTTTGCTGCCTGGCTTCACAGGCACTGAATACATTCACATTATAAGAAACTGCATGAATTTAACAAGTTTTGTATAATACCAACACAATAACCAAACAGTTTAGTGAATACGATGAATCTTTCTGGAGCGAAAAGGGCCTATCACCTATACCCCTCCACTTCTACCATCTACACAGTCCCAAAGAAGTCAGTACGATACAATGTCCATCTAGACCAGATAAAAGAATGCATTAACATTATCCAACAAAAATGAAAACAATCCAGAGTTTTTTGTTTAATACTTGTAATAAACTAGAAAATGTTTCAATTTAAGTAAAACATACTCCACAGAAAAACCACCTCCATCATGCAAAATACCATTATAGCCCTTTTACACCACTAGAGAAGTTTTAATGTATATAGAACTAGGATACCATTCAAGTATCAAGCAGTCAGAGAAAGCTAAAGCAGCCAAAACCTAACAGTCTACACACCCTGAATTGCAATTAACTGCCCACACATTTAATCATAATCAACTTTTTCAGAGAGAAACAGACAATTCAATGCATCTATTTTGAAAGGCTACCCTATATAATTAAGGGCTTTACATTACCTTTCATGGATTACTCAGCAAGGTCTGTCTATACTTCAGATTACTTTCATGTTCCAGAAAATATCAACTCATGCCTTATTACTGATACCCTGTTTATGTTTTAATTCTACTTCACTAAATGTAATCCCACAGAATGTGTTCTTGATGTAAATAATCTCATATTCCTTAATGAAATATTGTAAATTCTCTTCTCCAATGGTTACAACTTTTAAAAGGTATGCAAAGAACTGTGTATCATTCCCATGAAAGACAAAAAGAGTGTAATTTTGCTCCAAAATTTAACTTAAGTCTGATGTATTTCTAGTAAGTCTTTCAAGGATTCCAGAGAATCTTTTCATATCTCCATTTCTGGAAAGTGAAATCAGTATAGAAGTAATTTGGGAACTTGAAAATGGCACTCTCTTTTCAGCAGATGCCAAATTTTTGACCGACATGGCTCCCACAATTACTTTGTTACCATCAGTCCAGTCAGTTAACAGGTTGTAGGAAAAGATTCGTTTTTTGCAGACACTGCTAAGCTGTTTAAAGAGAAGAGAGAAAAATTAATTTAGTGATTATAAAATGCACAAATATTTAAAATATTCTGAACACTTTGTCGGATATCAGGTGTGACTACATTTTAACAAATGTGAAATTTTTAGATATGTCTGGTCAACGAAGTGCAGAAACAGTTAAGTCAATACTTTGCTAGAAATAGGTCAATATGATGTGTTCTATCAATGTATGAATTCCTGTCACCATCAGAAAACAAATATTTAAAAGCTACGTCTTTAGTTCTGCCATAGAGGCACAATATATAAAAAACAAGTTCCCCCCAATACTGAATTGTTCTCATTAATTACAGCAGAGTCAAGCCTGACAATTTCAAAAGAATACGGATTATAGTCCAGAAATCTCCTTTCTCCAGCTAATCACTCAGAACACAATTTTCTAAAAATAGTAAGACAACGGTTTCATATTAATATCTTTTTTAATTTACAAGTTGTGAATAGGACATTTTAAGATATTTACTACATAATGAAATAAACAGATCTGTTGTAAATTCAGAAACCCAAACATGTACAGCAAAATGTGCTTACACATAAGTGACCAAATTTATTTAAAACCCCTATCAGATAGGTCCTAAATACATGCAATACCATGTAAAAACAAGACCATGAAATTGATGTAAAAAAATGACAAAATCATTAAGTTACCGAAATCAGGAAAAAAAAAAAAGAATGAAATGGAAACTAAGAAAAAACATTTAAAACATAAGGAACCTAACAAAGGAGCTTTTAAAATAAGCAAAACTAGTCTCCGTGCTCAGAAGTTCTTAATCAAGTATTTCTCCAAACTGCCATTTATAAAATGACATCCTAAAAATCTACACTTGCAATTTCAAAGCATCCCAATTCAGAAAGCTTTGACTACTGTTTCTCCCCAACCCCCAAATTCAAATAATGCAGGAAAAGCACTGATGTTAGGGAGAAAATATTCCAAGGGGATAGTATAATTTTTAGAAAAACACACTTACTGCTTCCAGAACCTTTTAAGACCCACAGTCAGCATTAACAACAATCATTTTTCCTATTTTCATCCATTATTTTCCAATGTCATGTTAGAGATGAATAAATTCTTTGAGCCCATAACTGAAAGATCAACAAACCTGGTTTTATTATGACACCATAAATTTGTCATTGGTACTGCACAAAATTATATACAAAGAAATATATACAAAATGTTCAAGTATTAATTAAATTTCAATTCAAGGCTTTTGCTTCAAAAACTACGTTTAACATATTCCATAAAGATAGCACAAATTAGTCGCTTCAAATAATTCTTCCCAACTACTTTTGGTTTATATATATATAGATATATATAATTCAGTAGGCACTAAAAATCCATGCAGCTGCATTGTGAGGGGCTTGCTCCTGCACGTATAAGCAGGTTCATCACTCCTGGTTGAGTTTGGCTACTACCCATTCATGCTCAAGTGCAGTAGATGATTTTACAAAATATGCTGTGATGCACTGGAAACCAGAGACCAAGTTAAGTCTCAAATTGGATTAAGTGGCAACAAAACAGTTACAAGTTGTTCAAGAACAAGGATTCCATTTTCATAAGCAAATAACAAAATAAAACATGTTACGGGTAAGATAATGTACATCTTTGGACTGCTGGAAATATTTTTTAATTAGGAACATTTTAAAGTAAAAGATAGCAGAAGCCCTGATATTACCTCTTTTCCTCATTTCTTATACTACCTTTTAAAATAAAGCAGGAAATGTGGCCAGCAGCTGGTCCCGTCTCTTCTGCCCCAACAGCTGTATCCACTTTAGCACAAAGAAAAACAAGGATGCTAAATATGTATATACTTTATCAAACAGTGATGTTTCACAAAGAATTTCATCATGCTTAACACTGAAGAACACCGGTAACTCGAGTTATACACCCGGATGATGGGAAATACAGAGAAGAATTTTTCAAGGGAAGACTATGTCCCATCTTTGGGAAGAATGTCAATCGTGTTATTAAGTTAGTGAGAATCGCTCAATTTTAACATTTCTGTTTGAAACAGGACAAATATCTCTGAAATATGAGTAAGATTCTTTGTGAAGCCTCACTTTACACGTTTTCATTCACATTTCACAACCTTCAATATTTAATCATACAAAATTTAACCTAGAATTTTAATACAACAAAAATAAAGGTGTTCAACAATTGATTCATACTCAGTGATAGAATAATCACTGTGCTGGTCCCCATAAAAACATTTCATTAACCATTTCATTCTTCCTTCAATGAACTAACACAGGAGTCTGACAGGCATTTTAATTTCCAACTTCTCTACTAATGAGATAATAAAGTATGTTCATCTAGGAAGATTATTTTTCTAGGTCTCTACTGAAAACTAAAAGGCATTGTTGAATACCTAATGAGATCTGTCATCTCCAGCAAAACAACTATCCCATTTGTGCATGCCCCAAACACTTCTCGTCAACCTCTGAAAAGTTGCTCTGAAATTGGAATTCCAGTTTGCACCTTGTACAACTCGGAACTTCCATTCAACTTCACCTGTTTCACTGTCTCCAAACTGCATCTCTATTAGCAGCTGTCAGTGTACAGTTGGAACCGATGTCATCCAAGGCCTTGTCCACACTGGGGACAGAAGAGCTAGGTACACACGCAAGTCTGAACAAGGGGACACGGTAACAGCTGTTTCAGCCAAAGAAACATCTGAAATACAGTATCGACCAGCACAAGTCTGTTTCCAGGGTGGACAGGGCCCAAATCAGATTCCCCTCCCGCCTTCCGAAAAAGAAACCCCCACACACACACACACATATTGAGATGGTGCCCATTAAAGTGGACTAAGCAGCAGAGCATGAGCGTTACGTGAAGAGATGGGTCCTTACCAGGAGGTGAGGCGGGCACGACTGTTCTGTAACCCCTACAACGGAGCCTGGCAGGAAGGAAATCACCTAAAAAAGAAACTGTCAGAGAGATTTAATAGTCACATGTCATCATCAGGAGCGGGGTACAGTGTCACATTCATGCTTTTAGCTAAAGACGTAAAGATGCAATATTACGTTTTTCCTCCTCTGAGCCGTGGCCGGCGAGGGTCCCGCCCGGGGGGCGGCAGGTGCCGGGCGCCGCGGCGCGGGGGGTGGGGTCCCGCGCCTACATTTTGAGGGCGGCCGCGCGCCGGGCGCAGGCCGCGCAGAACTCCACGGACACGGCGTCCCTGTCCACGTGCAGGCACACGCCGCCCGCCGCGTCGTCGTCCTCGGGCGGGTCCGGCCGCTTCCCCGCGGGCAGCGCGTAGTCGTGGTCGCCGGCGGGCGCGTCCCCGAAGAGCGAGGTGCCGAGGCGCAGCCCCCCGCCGCTCAGCCGGCTCAGCAGGCGCGCCAGGCCCGTCTCGTTGGCCAGCACGGCGCGCAGGTAGCGCCGCTCCTCCTGCAGCGCCTGCACGCGCCGGCCCAGCTCGCGGTTCTCGGCCCGCAGGTCCTGGTTCTCGGCCGCCAGCGCGCGCACGCGGCCCTCCAGCCCCGACACGTACTCCTTCTTCCGCAGCCGGTTCAGCCGCGCCGCCGCCGCCGCCGCCTTGCGCGGGCTCCGCGCCGCCGCCGGGCTGGGGTCGCCGCCGCCGCCGGGCGCCTTCCGCCGCCGCCGCTCGCCGCCGCCGCCGCCGCCGGAGAGCAGCCGCTGCAGCAGGTCGGAGAAGCGCTGCACCTCGGCGGCCGCGGCCTCGGCGTCATCGTCCGCGCGCCACGCGCCGCCGCCCTCCGCGCCGCCGCCCGACGCCGGGGCCGCGGGCGAGCCGAGCCCGGGCCCCAGCGGCCAGTCCGGCTGCCGCGGGTCCAGCAGGTCCGCCAGCTCCAGCCCCGCCAGGAAGTCCATGTCCTCGGCGCCCGCGCCCGCCGCGCCCGCCTGCTCCTCCATGGCCCCGGGCGACGGCGCGCGCGCGGCCGCGCCGCCCCTTCCGGCCTCCCGCTCGCCCTCGGCGCCGCGCGGCGGCGGCCGGCCCGGGGGCGCGGGGGCGGCGGCCGCGCGCCGCGAGCAGGGGGCGGCCGGCGCGGGGCTCTCGCTGCGGGCCGGGGAGCCGCCGCCCGACGCCGCCAGCAGCTGGGTCAGGCTGTGCCGCATGAGCCGCAGGGCCCGCCGGGCTCCGCGCACGCCGGGCCTCGCGGGCGGGCGGCCGCCGGGGCGAAGGGCAGCGCCCGGGCCGCGTCGCCTCCCGCCCGGCTCGGCGGGCCGACCCCCGCGCCAAGGCGGGGGGAGCAGGGACGCGAGGCCGGCGCCGCGAGGCCCGGAGACGACTCGGCCGCGCCGCCCAGACAACGGCCGGGCCGGAAGTCTGTCGGGCTCGCCGCGGCCCCGCCCACGGCGTTCGCGCTCCCCCTGGTCTAGTATCGCGAGAGTTCAGCGAACGGGCGTGGCTTTGTTCCGCGGCTCGGTGACGGGAATCGGCGACCCAGGCGGAAGCGCGAGGTCCGGCGAGTGGGGAGTTGTTGGCCTCCTCGCCCCGCCCCGCCCCTTCCTCTTCGCCCCGCCCCTCGCCCTGCCCCGCCCGCCGCGCCTACGAAGCCCTTTGCCTTGAAGTGGGTCGTTCGCTGCTGAAGGCCTGACTAACCTTAGAAGTTACCCTGATCTGTTTGGTTTTTAAAACTGGTGATTTTTTGGGGCCTCCCTGGTGGCGCAGGCGGTTGAGCGCTGGGCTGTGGAGCTGCCCGCAGTCTCTGTAGCACCGGTTCGACCCCGGCCGGCCAGGGAGCTACCTACATGGCGCGGCAGACCTCTCCTGTCTCTTCCGCTGCTCCCTTAAGCAGTGGATTTCAGTAGATTCACCTGTTCTTCTCCCCACTCTGTTTCTGGGGACTCCTCTCACCCCTGCACCTCTGGCCTATACCCCAGCTCTTGTATGCATAAATAAATATTTTTAAAAAATAAAACTGATGATCTTGTCACGCAAACATTCACAGACCATCAGAGAAAGGAGGAGGACATGAGCAAGCTGCTCACGGGTGACTTAGTTTTCTTTTCAAGTTCTTATTATAAAAATTTCCAAAATATACGAAAAAAATTTACAAAATCCATTCTACATTCAACAATACTACATAGTACCCGGATGACTGAGCGATTTGACAACTAACATTTTGCCATGGGTTTTAGTCTTTAAAAAATATTTAATAGCTCAATTAAATTCTTCATAGTAAAAATGTTCTCCCAGTTGGTGGTGCTTCTCTTTGTTTTGGTTACTGTCTCTCTTGCTGTGCAGAAGCTCTTTAATTTGATGTAGTCCCAGCTGTTTATCTTTGCCTTCACTATCACTGCTTTGGGCGATGTGTCTGTAAAGATGTCTTTGAGGTGCATATCATGGAGTGTTTCGCCTATATTTCTTTCTATATATTTTATGGTTTCAGGTCTTATGTCTACTTCTTCAATCCATTTTGAGTTGGTTTTTGTGCATGGAGTGAGGTAGTGGTCAAGCTTCATTCTTTTGCATATAGCGACCCGGTTTTCCCAGCACCATTTATTGAACAAATTTTCTTTGCTCCAGTGCATATTCTTTGCCCCTTTGTCAAAGATTAGTTGACCATAAATCTGTGGGTTTATTTCTGGATTTTCTATTCGGTTCCATTGGTCTGTGTGTCTGTTCTTGTTCCAATACCATGCAGTTTTTATTATTATGGCTTCGTAGTATAGTTTGAAATCTGGGAGAATGATGCCTCCATTGCCTTCTTTCTTTTCAAGAGGGTTTTGGCTATTCAGGGTTCTTGGTGGCTCCATATTATCATGCTCAGCAAAATAAGCCAGAAAGAAAAAGGAAAATACCAGATGTTCTCACTCATAGCAGGAATTTAGAAAACCTAAATAAAAGCCCAGGAAAAAGACTAATTATAATAAGGTAAAAATCAAAATCAACAAGCAACTATAAACCAGAGACATACTACAGGGGAGGGAGGAGAGATTAGGGTCAAAATAAAGGTGGTGGGAATTGTATGGGGAATATAACCAAAATGAAAATGCATACATTGTGCAAAAATGAAAAAGTATGTAAAAAATATATAAAATAAAATAAAAATTTCTTTGTAGTAAATGGATGTAGTGCCAGGACAGGGACAGAGCAGGTTCATCTGTGATTGGAGCAGACCAGATGGTTAAAGGAGAGTCCTGGAGCCCTTGGTGCCTTTCTCAGGCTTTTATTGACCTTTTACACTTAGTGCAGCAACCAGGTACACTCTGTACTCTTTGGTGCTCTGTCTCCCCTTCTCCTGTTCTTTCTCCTGCCTCTGCTTCTCTCAGGGAACATAATACCGCAGCCATGGCCACAAGAATAAATAACACCATTGAAAATAGCAATGTAGCAAAATGCTGGTGCCCACCATCAGGCGTGTAATCCTAAAGGCAGAAGGGCAGAAATGCCTGAAAATCATTTGCTCTACAGTGTGGAACAGCAGTTTGTGAGGGGATTCCACTTGTGAGAGGTAGCTCTGGAGCTGAGGAGTAGCTTTGACTTTTGGCAGAATTTCCAAGTCCACAGCTTTCTGATCACACCCGAGCTGCTCTGTAATCTGTTTCGCCTTCTGTGTTTCAAAGATCTCACCTTCCTGGTGTCAGGGCTTATGCAGCTTCTTTTTGAAGTAAGCATCAGTGAGGTGTTTGGGGATAGTAACACCATTGATAACCAATTTTGGAGGAGGTTGTGATGACAAATTTCTGGTGTGGACTGCCTGGGGGAACTCCACTGAGGGCCAGTCACAATGTTAGGAGGAAAGGATGTCCTGAGCAAACTCCATACAGGCTATGAGGGCTGCACCCCCACGCCATCAAGACACTGGGAACTATAAATCCCATGATCACCAAAGGGAAGGTTGCGAGGACCTCAGGGTGGAGTAAAGCAGCCATGTTCTCTGTTTGAGTATTTAACCAGCCATGTTGGCTGGGAGGTGTCACTCTCTTGGCCTCGTGGTGCACTCGGCTTTTTCACCAGCTCCACAGGCCTTTGGGATTCCAGGTCAGCAGAACAGGAAGGATGCATTTATGAACTTATCTCCCTCTTTTTCTCCCTGGGTTACTCATTTCCCCTTCCCTTGTAAATAAACCTTTCATCAACCTTTTGTGTGTGTCTGCAGTTTAGCATTAATAAGTCCCCTTTAAGTGCGCAGGTAAAGACCCACAGTCAGGCAGACCATTTTATATTGGGATTGCTCCGTAACAACAAGTAGCAAGCCACTGCCAGCTGAATCAAGAAGACTATCCTCTTGCCTCTGTGTTGCTGTTAGGGTGATCAGAATGGTCCCAGGAGTAATGCTACCTTGCAGTTCTCTCACATGCTGATTAAAGGGTTATTTTCCCTGTGGTTCAACAGCTTTGAGGTATATCTGAAACCTGAGACTCCCCTTGGGACTCCAGGCACTGCTTGCAGGCTGTGCAAGTGGCAACAGGTGGTGGGTATTTTACCACCTGCCACCAGTGACCCCACTGGGGTTCAGGTTGCTGGCCTTTGCCAACAGTGATGGGTGATGGAAGTGGTTCCCCTACCATGACAATCCAGGGCATGCTGCCTCTGTAGCCCTATGGGGATAGCCCCAACATAGGTGGGGGACCCTGAGAAGGGGAGAGAAGCGAGCTTGGAACGCTGGCACACCTGTGCTGGCTGGACTCTCAGGCCCTGGACTTACTTAGCTGCACTCCTGCATTCTGAGACTAGTTCGCTGGCATTTACTGGACTTACTTGCTTGGACTGGACAGTTGCACACTTGGACTGGATGCTCTCAGAAGCATCCAGCAGCCAACCTCTGAAGGAATAAGAGAAGCCGAAAGCTTTACAGAGAGGCCAAAGAGTTTCACAGAAGCTGAGCTGGCTGCATCTGCCTCTGGCCTGCCTTTGACATCACCTGAAAGGAGCACCAGGCCTCAGAAAGTTGTCGTGGGCCAACATCTCACAAAGAACTGTAATGGTAGTGACCAGCACTACTGGCCAATGCTGTCCATACTGTTGATGGGTGACTGACACTTTGTGTACGGGTCACCTTTTGCGAGCTGTTGATTGTCAGGCAGTATCACCTTCCAGTGCTGCCGCTTCTGTAGCTGTCTGGTCCAGCCTTCGGTGCTGTCCATACTGACATCAGACTTGCTTCAAGCTGCTGCGGTGTCATCTCAGAGCATCTCCTTCTGGCCACGCACTCTAAGCCTTTGTTGATGGGACAACACCGTCTTGGATGAGCAGCCTTTTGTGTAGGACTTTTGGACACTATGGGACACTACTGGGGTGAGGTAGCCAGCCACTCTGGCCTTGAGAACTTCTTGAGAACATTTTGCTTCCCCTGTTCGTTATAAATCCCATTGTTGTTGTTCCCTGAGCCTGAATGGTCTTGAAATTGTCCACCTGGATAAAGAACCCACAGTGACCTGCCCTCTATTGAGCACTGTCGTTTGGAGGCTCTCACCACCCCCCACCAGCCTGTTTCATATCTTCAATCAGATAATATGTAGGCATTTTGCAAAATTTAACTACTCAGTACTGTCATTTTTGTTACCACCAACTGATTTTGTGACAGTGGCAAGAAACTGCTTTTACTTTTCAATCCTGGATTTAGCTGCTGAATATTTACTGTTATGCATGGCTTTTCTGGAGTACGAAGCAGACTGGGAATAGCTGCTAAATCCTCTGACTGAAGCAGGAGTTTGGCTGTAGCATCGCTTCCCCTTCTTAGAGGTTTTGGCCTTTGTAGGGACAGGATGGGTACAGAGCAGGTTTTCTATGATTGGGCAGACCAGGTGGGTAAAGAAGAGTCCTGGAGCCCTCGGTGGCTTTCTCAGGCTTTTATTGAGCTTTACATTTAGTGTGGCAAACAGGTACACAGCAGGTAGGGGTGCAGGGGGACCTCCAAGCCCCCCCACAAGTCTTCACTCGGGTCTTCTGGGGCTTCTTTTCTCCCCTTCTCTCTCCTGCCTCTCTTCTGCTATTGCTTCTCTCCGTGACTATCTCCATACTCCTCCCATGGCCCACAGAAGTAACCAAGACAGTTTACAACAATGTAACAACTGCAGGTGCCCCATTAGGCAGGACAATCCTAATGGTGGGAGGGCAGAAAAGTCTGAAAAACCTTTTACCCTACAGCCTTGCCCTTAAACTTGCC